CGCACGCTACGCCGCTAAACCAGCCTACCACGCTTGAACCAGCCCATCACCGTTCCCAGTATCGCGGCGGTGGGAAATTTGGTTGGCTCATCGTCCAAGTTTCTGAACCCGTCACGACGGAGAGTCCGTCGACTACCACGTTAGCGCGTCCCCTCCGAATGGTACCGGCGACGGACGGTAGGAAACTCTGTTCTGTGCCACGCCCATCCCACGAGCACTATGGAGTACTCTCGTAGTATTGACTGTACCACGGTATTCGTAGAGTGAGTGTATGGGTAGAGTGCAAACTGGACGCTCACGCAACTCAGCTAGACGGGGAATCCCTTCTTTGGGATGGTTCAACCGCTCAACCGAGACGTGAGCGTCTTCGTCTTAGTCGACAACTTATTGGCCCGTTGAACTTTGTCTTCAGCGGCGCTCACACCACCTTCTTCCACGTCTTCTTCTCGTCCGTTCCTTTTTTCCTTCCCACTCCCCTGGTGTGCGGTATGCAAAGGTCAGAGAAAAGATGATGGCCACACGTTGTGTTTCAAAGCCTTTCATCTGATCGATGAGCAACCTTACACTCTAACCCACGACACACCAACCTACCCTCCCTTGATGAGCCAAAATCTGAAGAAAGAAAGAAAGAAAAAGAAAAAAAAAAAGAGTCCGGGCCGCTGGCAGGCCGCTGCTTGTCAGTTTGAGCTCAGCGGCAGAGGAAAGCAATGGCGACCGGTTCAGACGGACGAGCCACTCTGCCATCGCAGAATCCAACTCAATGCTGCGATGACACTCCCCCCCCCCCCCCCCCCCCCCCATCTCCCCCAGTCGCCCACCATCTTCCCGGCAACAAGCCACATTGCTGAAACAGTCAGATGAAGGAAGGGCTGGGCTCTTGTTGTAGTTGGCGCTTTAGGTTACTTCGCTTAAGTCTGCGAAAAAGCGCAACACCAGAGACGTCAGTGTTTGAGCCTCGCCAAGCGAAGAGAAAAGACACAACATGGCTTGTGGGTTCAATTTCCTCACTGCTAGAAGCCTTCTGCGACATCCATCTCGTCTGCTCGCCGCTCGGACGGCAGCATTTTCTCGAATGACACCTAACGTTTCCCGCTGCGACGCCAATGCACTAGTAAAGAAGTGACAATCGCAGAGCAACCGTCCACAAGACGATGGACCGGGTTTACGGACGAGAGAGAGTCTGACAGAATCGAGAAAGGAAGGATTAGTACGAACGGCATCCAATCTCTATCCCTGCAACGGGGAGAGAAAATCACCAAGACATCCCAACTATTATCCCGACAATAGCCCATCGTGCCCATCTCCCCCTTCACTTCTGTGCTGCTCCCTACGGAGAACTCCCCGGACGATTCCAAAGATCATCTTGATCAACCACCTATTCCGAACAGCTGCCAACGGCCTGGGCCCTTTCCCTCCCCTCCCTATCTCTTTCGCAGATTTACGGCGGCAGCGGGTTGCTGCCCGTTGCCGATTTGCCTGTCAGGCTAGTCAACTGCCGAAGGATTCCTGGTGTCTCTTTTAGCAGTCCCTCTCAGAAATTCCCTCACAAAAGTCACTAGTAGCCTAGTGGTAGAATAGGAAAAACGATAGAGAAGACGGCAGAGCCACCACGGCCCGACTGTGCATACCGAATCCGAGACTCCAATGGACTACCTAGTGATCGTCGACCAACGTCGCAGACAGCCAACGTCGTTACGTACGCATTCCGAATCTCCCAATATTGTCACTTTGAGATTGAGAATAGACATGGCGGCCGTGACCCTGGGCAATTCCGCATGATTCTTGCAATCCTATGCTGTAACTCCGCGTGCTCCGCATCCTAGCCTGCCGGTTACAAGACGAAGAACACCAGACATCAAGTCGTGGAGCAACATCTCGAAAAACGTGGTAAATAATATCCGTAGGTTCAGAAAATAAAGGCTAGCATTAAGATACGGCTATTGCGGCTACAATGACCACGAGGCAGACAAGGCTCTATCATGTAACCAGATCAAAGAGCCAATGGCAAAGAGTCTCAAACTTGGCCTTGGTATCCAATCCAAACCGTGGTTGTAGAAAGCCCAGATGCGATGGAACTCTACAGATACGTATCGCTGCCCCCCAGAAGGAGAGAAAGACACCCTCGTCCACGTCTGTGACAACCCTCCCGTTTCAGGTGGCTTGGAGGGGTTGGGGGAGACTGAGAAGGGGGAGGGTAAGGTAGGGAGGGTAGTTAGGTAGGGGCGTGTGGTGTATGGTGTGTGGTGTGTGAAGGCTGGGCTGGGCTGGGTTTTGCGGCAACGTCGCCTTCACTCTGAATCTTGACAAGCGGGATCGCGGACGCCGGTGCGAACACTGTGAGCTTCATTTACCACCATAAGTCACTGTGAAATCGAAATCATCATCACCAACCCGCGCTAGGAGCACCCGTGGAGATGTGCCGTGGTGTCGTCCAGTGTTCGCTTCAGCTTCCAACGTCGCCCGAGTGTCTCTCATGTCGGTGGTTTACTAACAGCTTTGTCAACCAACACCAACCCACCCGTAAACCCTTTTTTTTTCACTTTTTTGTTTCCCCCCTTCTCCATGTCTCTGCCTGCTTTTCTTTTTTTCCGCGTTCGCTCAGCCAGAAAGAGAACATAGCCCCGAGACAGGACAATTCTATTGTTCAAATGTTGACTCGAGTGCAATACCTACCTTAACCAGAGGGCACATCACATCATACACACACACACACCCCAGGGAGCGAATCCGATCGACGAAACTTTGGGGCGTGGGCTGCTTGTCTTCCCCTTCTAGCTCGTGGATCGCCGGACGCTAACGCATTGCCGGGTGTGTGTCTGTGGGGGTGAGGAGGGCAGAAAAAGGGAAAGACAGCAACCACTGGCAGATTCAAGAGGGAAAAGGCGATAACAGCACCTAGTACTCCGTATGGAGTAGAGCAAGTAAAAAGAGGACGGGTTCAATAAGATGACGGAGGCTCCCACGCGCGCCACCGCCCACCCCTCCCCCACCCCCCCTTGCCGGGACGAACGACAAGCAAGTCGGGCAGACCACGGCCGACGAAGAGACGACATGAACCACAGGTTGGCGGAAGATGCCGTACCGTACCGCTTCGTGCGTTGGGCCTCCAATCGGTCATGACTTTCCTATTCTCGCATTCACGGCCGGGCGTCGGTGCGCCAGGCTCGTCCCTTTTGAGAAGAAGTCTCACGACTCAAGTGTGACGCACGCATGGCCGCCGTCTGGTCTCATGGTCTGGCTTGGCCCTTTTTCTTGTTCCCCTTGTCTTGTCTCTGACTCTCTCTCTCTCTCTTCTTTTCGTCCCAACTTGGAGAGTCCCCGGGCTTTTTGGCGCAAAGCTGGGGTATCCCGTTACGCTCATGGCTGACTCCGAACGGTACATGGGTCTTGCCAGACCGTCCTTTTTGGAGCGTTCCGTTCCCAGCGTGGTACGGATACTGCGGGACCAAAAATGTGAATATCCTCAACCAGGGGGTGGTTATGGAAGTGGAGGGTGTCCATCGAGGCTCCAGAAAGACTCCTCCCAGGAACGACAGCTCCGCACAGGCGCTTGCGTTCATCAATCATGATGTAGGGGGCTTCACGGAAACGAAGCTTCCGTGCGGTAAAGGGAGAGATAACCAGCCAGGGTGTTGGGAAAGCGGGAGAGCAAGAAGACCCTGAGTACCGGGGATTTGCAGTTTGGCAACGTGTTTGGAGAATCTCCTGGTTGAAAGATCGTCGATAGAGTGTGTAAATCCCCCGAACCCTAAACCGGATGGCCACAGGGCCATTCGCCTCGACAGGCGTCCGGCATCTCATACATAATGCGAGCCGGGACAGCCGTCAAGGGGGTTGAGGCGGTGAGAAACAAAGTCTACCCACATCACAGGATCGTGTGGTTCTTGGGAGGGGCGGCCGGCTTCTCGCAAAGTGCAAGCGATGAGTAGCTAGGTCATGGTCAAGTCGCAAGCGACAAGTCGATTACGGCTTCATAATCGCTGCCATATCATGCGTTGCCTTCCTGTGACCCGTCGTTCGCCCTGTCAACTACCTGCCACCAGACCGTCAAGTTTCGTCTGTATTCCAAGTCAGACTTGACACAAGCTTACCGCCACCGCTTGTCAAGCGGGTTGAACGCGTGGCATCCCATCTTCATAGGCGAATTGCTAGGCATCGCCTAGTCCTTCACGGTCTCAAGTTGTTCAGCCTACCCACGATCTGACAGCCGAGCCTCATGCACATCGCCTCGATCCTTCAAGGGAAGTGGGATGAGCCAAGCAGGGTCGAGGCGTCAGACGATGCATCTTTTTTCGCCTTCCCATGCGGTTTGTGGTGGCCAAGATGCATGATATGCTCCTGACCCTCAGGGTAGCCTTGTGAGGCTGGCCCCTGACCCATGAGGCATCTTAAACAGTATCCGCGCCAGACACCTGTCAACCCCCCCCCCCCCCCCCCCCCCGAGTGGGCTCTCCCGATGCGGGGGACAGAGGTCGGAGGCTGGCTCGCCCGGACGCAAGAATAGCATCCTCTGTGACGATACAGTAAGATGTCGCCGGGTCAAGGGCCCCTGTTGGCATGAAAGATCTGTTGAGGCTCAAAGCTTGGCTTCCAGTCTTCTTTTGATGTCAACTACTGTCATCACTTTGACGGGCGGGTCATCGTGTTTCGACTCGCCTGGCTGCGGTGGCGGCGTTTCAACTCGGAAAGTTGCTGGTATATCAAGGTGTACTATAGACTATAACAACAGGTGGCGTTTCTTGACATGCGTGCCGTCTGGCCCGAGGCTGCCTGTGCCATGACTTTGTATCTCTAGAGTCCTCGTTTGTATAACCTCCAGTCTCTACGGGGGCGTCTTAATAGCTAGACTGATCGTTCCAGTACAGGGTCTCATGATACACCCTGTCGATGGGGGGTTAGCATATAGGATTTCAGTTTGCCTCCTCGTCATGATCCGAGGGCAATGCAAGCATATCGTGAGAAGGTGTAATCCGCAAAGGAAAGATCGAAGCATGGAAGACTCACTCGGGTCCGGTAGCATACAGGGGCCAGCCGAGCTTCAGAGTGATATACTGTATCAGGTGGCTCGCGACCTTGATCTGGCCGACATCCGTCGGATGCCACTGTGGCGCGATGTCGTTGTGCTGGAGGATACCTGTGGTGTTGAAGAAGTGCACGAAGGGTGTTGCCGGTTTGCCCGTCTGCTCGGTGGTATTTGTGACAGCATCCCAAGTTATCGGGTTGCTTAGGTACTCTTCCGAGTTAAAGTACTCGTAAACGCTGTATACTTCGTCCCGAAGGTCGGTATTCTGGCCATACGTGTTGCCATCCTGGAAAAAGCCTTGCCACATTTGCTATTGCTGCACTTAGTGGGCTGTAGATACTGGCTGAAGAGTTGGACCTACCATGACTATGACCTGAGCTTCGGGCCACTTTCCGTGAATGCCCTGGATGAGTCTCTTGTAGTGTTCAACGTAAGTGGCTTTGGTGACATTGTTTGCAGCATTCGCATCATTTGTGCCGAGGTTGATGACAGCGAGGTCGGCAGGAGGGTTTCTGGAGAAGTCCCAAGGCTCTGGTTCATCTGCACAGGTTGCCGTCAGTATCATGCTTTCCAAGATTTGCCCAGCGGAGATCCAAGGTTGATTTGACAAGGCCATGTTTGCCCGGTTCCCTATTTCGAACTGAGTACACATACCTCCCCATATCTCGTTTGCCCGTCCGCCTGTGTCCGATGCATAGAACCATTGGTGAGATTGTCCTCGAGGGTTGCCCCAACAGTCTTGGTCGGCGACGCATATGCCCGGATAGGCTGTAATGGAATACTCAGTATCGCCCAGGCCCGCGCCGACACCGTAAGCAAATCCCGCGAGCGCCTCGTAAGTATTATACATGCCTGCTGACAGGCTATCGCCAATAAACTCTACCCGACGAGGATAATCGGGAATCTTGACGAGCTGTTCTCCAGAAGCCACATGAACCTTGTCAATTTGGACTCCATAAGCCCAGTTTGTCACTCTCATTTCAAATGTAACTGGGCTGACAGGACCAGCTAGCTCGATGCCTGGAGTTTCGGAGCTCACGAACTGGTGAGTGCCGCCCGCCGTGACGTTGGTGTGCATCCAGTCTAGACCGGCGATTCTGTAGGCGACGAGAGTACTGCTGATAGTCTGATTACCGAATGTGACCGCGACTGTCTGACCGGTGAAGCCGAATTTAATGCCCGGGGCTCTACGCAGCCTGAGTTCATGAATGATTGCCACAGTCCTAGGGTACACTTACGCCCACCACGATATCTGCTTTGAATCCCATCGACCTTTGTACGATATCTCTTCGGCATCGGCATCGTATGTCTTGAACTCGCCAGGAGTCGGGTCCACCTTCGTATCTATGGAGCTCGTTACTCTTGGGCGGCCATTCTCCAAGATGGTTGCGGTGACGGCAGAGATACAAGCCAGTACCGTTGAGAGTGAGCGTATCATCATCATTTCGGTGTTCTCAGCAGCCACTTGCCTAACAAAGACGCCCGGTGAACATTGCCCAACAAGAAGGGTGTACACATCATGAACAGAGAGATATAAGCTTCTTATATTACTCCGTGGCCTATGAATTTGAACGAGGGTAGTCGTGCCGACCCCTCATGACGATACGGACTAAGAAGCTTGTGCGGTATGAGATGGGCCGAAATGAGCGGAAAACACAGTACTCCCCCGGCCAGAGTCACCTTTGGCTTGGAGAATGCATACCGGCTAATCGGGTCGTATGTTGTCCCGATATTCCAGATGCCCATAATTGTGAAATGAAGACTTGCATTCCACAACTGCTCCTCGCGCATGCAGTAAGGCGATACTCTCTTAACATATGAGCAACCTCAACGTGTATGTATATGAGGCTGCTGGCTCTTTGATCTGTGACATCTTCTCAGATTCGAATCCGTCCTGAAGGCGAGGAGCCCTCGATCTTGTGCCCGTTGGGCCGAATATGCGATACCGATGGGGGAAAGACGTTGGGTATCCGTAGGTGTATTCCACGGAGGGAGGAGCTCCGCGGGCCCGATTGGTGAAAGTGAGGTGTGATGAAATGTGGATCTATCGGTGTGGGGTGCCCGCTGTGGCCCGGCATCCGGAGAAAGGTGCTGTCTTTTCCGGCCCGTTAGGTCGGGACGTTGTGGGTATCGAAATACGGGGACTAGGTTGTTACACATTCCGTAGGTGTTTAGTTTAGACCGCGCCGATTATCCCGTCAGACTGTTGACCGTTGACCTGCGTTACGCCGATGGCCAACAAGAAGTCGACCCCGGCTCCGGCTTGGTTGTACAGTCCCGACAACGTAAAGAGATAGATAGCTCGGAAAACGGCGTTTGAGAACTATTATCCTGCGTTGAAACTATCATCAGACACATGAGAGCAACCCATTGCGTATCGGGGAGACACTTGAGCCGACCTGTTTCACGACAATTGAGGTTGAGGCATAGATCTGTCAAGTGTTGGATAAGGGGGTTCCATACCTCATGCAAGGCGTGATGTGATGTGCATACGTCTCTGCAGCATCCCACAGCGCGGGAGCTGCAGCACCTGTTCCTCGTCTTCGGCGCACAATCGTATTGGTGCATCGGCTCGTCTAGGCTGCGCCGATGGAGATGTGACGTATTCCCATGTGGTGGTTGATCCGGTCAAGCTTGACATGTGTCTTTGGTGAAAAGAAAGACCATGCCGACACCAGCACGAACGATAGTGGTGCTAGTAGCAACCGAGAGGTAGCATGAGTTATATTTGGTCTGCCGAGAAGTTGGAAGCACGGAAAAGAGGCTTGGGCTCTCCTATCGAACTCTGAAGGTTGGTAGAACAAGATAGGATGCGGATGGGATGGAATGTCACCTGTCCGGCCGGTCCCAATGCCCAAGTTGTATCCGTTCCTTCGTGGCCGGGGGCCTCGGGGCGAGGGTCAATCACGGTGTCGTCTAACCGTACTTCGTACCAAGCCGCATTCCCCGGGATGCCGGCGGGGGGGATCGCTCAAAGCTATCATCCCTGCGGCAGCGAACCCAGTGTGACGGACTCCAGGGTAGGCACTGACCGCTCAGGTATCCCCACGGGAAAGGAAGAGATCCCTTTGGACAGCGTAGACGATGGTTCCAAGGTTTCGAAACGCCAGACCGCTGAGTTGCAGTCGTTCGGATGCTCCGTTGAGGCCCATGTTTCTTTGTTGACCGAGCCTACCTTCGTTGCGCCGGCCGGGGGTCGTGTTGCGGGCAAAGTAATAGAAAACGCGGTGAGCTGGGCAACTCAATTTTGGGGAGAGCAGAAAACGGCATCCGGAGCGAAGCAATTGCGGCGATGAGGAGGGATCTAGAAACAAGGAAGTGTCATGGAATCAAGAATACCTCACGGAGTAGCAAATTGGTGAACAGACGCGGAAGGAAGAATGCGCCGTGAGGTACCTGCCGTTTGTAAAGGTCAAAACTTTGGGAAACAACCTGGATGTCCGGCGCATCATCGTCACACCGAGCCACGGAAGACAGGTACTTCTTTCACCACAGGAATTGGCACAGAACCGAGGTACCCCGTCGACCGTGCACATGCATCTCCCGGTGTAAGGGGGTCATCCATCCAACAACTTCGTCGACTTCCATTGCAACTCATCTTTCGATGAGACCCTCAAATAGTAAACCATCCACCTCTAGCATACTCAGCACTCTCTCATCCTCCTTGGCGGCCTGTGTCTCGCTCTCGAGTCTCGCCTTTAAGTCTGGTGCCATCCGTCATCGGTCCCCCTTCCTTCGTCCGCTCGTCGCATCGCCATCGCCATCGCCATCGCCATCACCATCACCTGTCTGTCAACCCCTCAATTACCTGCCATCTTTCGAACCATCCCTAGCAATAGCGTTCATCGAGCCGTGGGTGTCTTGGGCTTCTCCGAGGTAGTAGATAGCGATTTCGACACCCATCACACCCTCCCGAATCCATCATCACGAGCCCAGCAGCCCTCCGTCCAAATAGGAAGGCCAATAATCTCGCAATACCACCACGGCGGAAACACGGCGCTTGTCTTGAATTAACGATATCGACCGAAGGATGCCACACTGTTCCTGTCCATCCACACACCACTTACTCTCCGCTCCTGTCTGCCGCGTGCGCTACTTACCTTACCTTACCTCACGATTCGCGAAGGGGACTTTGGCACGGAACGAGAGACTGACAATAAGGCTGGCAACCAACAATCCTCGGCTACAGACTCCTTGCCGGCTCAATTCCCGTCATTACTTTGCCAGAATCAGCCATTGATTGCCTACCCTTATTAGCCTTGCAGCCACCTCCCGCCAAGATTGCTTTTTGCGACCTCCAGAGCATTGCTTCCTGCATTGTCGCTGCTGCTAGCTGCTGCGGCGCCCCAGAGATCGACCATCAGCTGATACCGAGCTTTCCCCCATTGTGCAGGGGAAAAAGAAACCGCTTCCCACGCTCGCTCTGGATACATCAAATCTCTCTGCACAAGAAGCTGTGTTCCGTCACCAGGGACCATCCGTTCGCGTGCCCTTTGCGACGGCGCCTTTTCGCTCTTTTCCCCAACAAGTCAAAGCGGCCGAGACCTGGCCTGGGTCTGAGCCTGGGTGACCCAAAACCGAGACCTGTGCGGGTAGCAGCGACTAGCAAGGCATCGCGGCGGTGGAGGGTGCGGACTCACCGGTTGTGTATCACCAAAAAAATCCCCAACTTCGAACACTGTATCTCTCTCTTTCTCCTTCACCTCCCCTTTCCTTCTGTACACCACCTGGCTCAGCCTTCTCCCGCCCATTCGAATACTTCGACGACACTCCTTCGATCCGATCTTATCCCATGGTATTGAACCTTACAGCGATACATCCTACCCGTTGCGACATCACGGAAGCTACAGCCATCGTAACAGTCCCTGGCCAGTCCGAACTCAATTCGCCCGCGCGCTGAGCTCGCAGCCCGATCTGACAGCAATGATCTCCGTTGGCGCTACGATATCATGACTTTGCGCGCGTTACCATCGCCCAAACAAAGGCTACATCACTTGCCGGCTCCGAGCCACAGCTCATGCTATTCGTCGCGCTCGCAACCGCAGCTGCACCTCTCACCTTCGCCCCCGACTGTCGTCAAACCCCTCCTCTCCCTCGAACCCCACCTCCGACAGGGACAATACCCCGAAACTTGTCGCCGCCGCCGCCGCCGTAGTGCCGTACGGCAATCATCCACCATCGAACACAGACAACCCCAACGCGCAACAACCTCAACCGCAAGCCTTGCTTTCGTCCAGCTGCGCACGGTGCGCTGCACCGAGCCATGTCGACCACCCAAGTCAATGCAGTGCCGGACACGCAACTGGGGTTGAGCTATGAAGAGATACAGCTGTTGCGTCAAGGACAAGCGGCACTGGGCCAAGGAACAGGAGGAGGCGGTTCGAATTCGTCACGGGCAGCAAGTCGCGCGTCAAGCCAAGGACTGCTGCTGCTGGACAGCACCTCATTGGCAGCTCTAGGGCGATACTTTGACCGGGTCATGAACCAGATCGAACAACAGATCCTCTACCTCAGCGAACAAAGCCAGATGTTCACCATGGCCCAATTTGACCGAGCTGGCAATCTAATTGAGGGTGCTGACGCCGAGATCCAGCGGTATCACGAGCTTCTCCGGCAACTTGACGAGTTGGAACTCGACTTCGACCGAATAAGGCATATCAAAGAGATTGTACGAGGGTACAGATCACGAGTTGAAGAGATGGAGCGTGAATTGGAACGGAGTGGCTCATCTTCCCGGCATAGAGAAGGACACCATTCTCACCGGCATGGCCACTCGCATAGTCACCGGCATGGGCACGAGAGTTCTCGTCGACACCGACACTGAACGATTTTTATACGCACAACAAGACAAAAGCGCCTCGGGGGAGTCCTTCCTAGGCTCGAAAAACACCACTAAAAGCGTATACAAACAAATGTTGAAGGAAGGCAGCAGAGAGTGTCTCAAAATTGTGGTGGAGTAGAATACATCAGTCACACGACCGCGACAGGATATCACAAGGCTCAAGGGTTGGCTCGAAAACGTTTTACCCCGGCGGGAACATACAGCACCACGGTATTCAATTTACGAGTCATGACGAAGAGCAGCTCTCTATTATCTGGTCGTGCGAACTAGCGGCCATTGGCGGTCCTAAGACGGAGAGCCTCGCGGCTGGACAAGATGGAAAAGCCTCACGGCTCGGTGGTCTTATTTCAAGGCGTTTGATTTCTTCGATTTCTCTCTTGTTAAAACAGCGGGGATTGCTTCGGTGCTTCACGACTGCCTGTTTGGCTGCCATCGGGAGGCGTTGCGCAATCTTCTCGAGCTCAAAATACCCATATTTTCTACTGTGTACGGAAAACCCAAAGCTACGCCTCACGGCATTGTACTGATCTAGGTACATGGATCTTGTTGGCATATTCGAGTTATTTCTCGAGGTTACGATTTATGTCTCTTTTTTTTATTAATTTAGTTTATGAATTCTTGGCCTGAGCACGACAGATATTTACTTCATCCATCTACGGGACGACCATCGTCGTTTGCCAATTTCAAATGTACCAAAAAGTATAGTAATTTCCGCTACGAGTTCATAATACGGATACACTTTCACCCAAAGGGCACTTTCCACGGCACAGACAGACTGGGGCGCTTAGCCAGGGGCCAGGCACACACACTCTTGTTTCAAAAGCCCCCGGAAATGAGGCAACTCTCGATCGCAACTGCGAACTACTTTAGGCACGCATGTTGGGCGACCGCCCGTCCGTAAGAGCCCGGTCTCCCAGTGAACTTGGCGCTTTTCATTCCTCTTGTCTCTTTCCCCGCTGGCGCCGTTTCAACCTTGGATATCCTCGCGAGGCCATTCGTCATACTGGGAGTATGTCACCCTAGAGCCCAGCCCCTTGATGCTTTTCCGCTTTGTCGGCGACGTCCCCGTCTCCGTGGCATAGGTACAACGTCAGGTGAGGGACTGGAGAAGGGGGAAAGGAGGGAAGCGCGAGGGAGTTGGCACACGGGGTGGTGCGCTCTAGGCTTAAGTGGTGCTACCTATCTTTCACTTAGTATACCATGTTCCCAATGCCCTCAGTCTTTGAGAGGCAGAAAGAGAATTATCTACCTATGGTCCAAAAAGAAAAAAACATGATTGTACTACGTACAGCAGTAGATGTATACCAAAGTAATACGCACTCCCTTGATTAATTCTTCAGCCGCTTTAGTTCACGCCGCAGACGAAACCACTATCAGATCTGGCGCATGAAGATTCGCCTTTGCAGATTTTTGACAACATCGACTGTAACCCCCCTCCCATTCGTAGGTAATTCCTATGTTGGCCGGGCAGGTTCATGGCGGAACTGGATGCCTCGTAAAGCCTCAGACGCCATGGAAACGTGGCTGTATACATGTTGCGGTGCAAGTTAGCAAGCTCGACAACGAAAAGCTGACGACATGGATCGACGAGGGTTTCCGCGCTCAATACTGTTGACGTCGTATTGGCTTCTTTTTACCCATGGGTTAGGCTGCTTGTATTAGTGGTCTTTATCTTGCTGGATACTTGTAGATTGAGGCAGGTCGATGATGAAGGCACTCATGTCGAATCTCACGAGCACGAGAAATCTCTTCCCTCGCCTGAGCACCTTGCACTACTTAGCTGCCTAGTTTCCGATTGATAAACAGCCTTGCGTGGCTTTTGTCTTCTGGTCTTAATTTTAAGATATGGATTGGCTGGTGTGGTCAATAACACGGCTCTGGAACAATACTAGAAGGGGTTAAGATTCGTCGGCGTGTTTCGACATCTTCACGTTATTTGACTTCATGCTTCTATAGAGAGGACTCTCCATTGAAGATGTACTTGACGGTCACGCCCACCGCTTTCAAGCTCCCCGACTATCCCAAAGACTCCGAAACCGCGATGCCCGACCCAACAACTCCCGCGGCTTGCCAACCTCCACCACCCAACCCTCATACATCACGACGACGACATCATACCCAACAATAGCCTCCAACCGATGCGCAACCTCAACAACGGTGACACCCGCCTCCCCAAACTCCTCATCCAACACCTTCCTAACTTCTTCATCAGTAGCATGGTCAAAATTACTCGTCGCCTCGTCAAGCAAAACAATACCCCCCGACCGCTTCCTTAACACCGCTCTAGCAAGGCAAAACAGCTGCTTCTGTCCCGCACTTAGCCCCGTCGCGGACATTTCCGTGTCCAGACCGCCGCCGCTGCCTCGCGCTTCAATGGGTTCCCAGACTTTCATCTTGCGCAAGGCGGAGATTAGGTCGGCGTCGGGCGTGTGGCCTCCGGGATCGAGGTTCTCGCGGACTGTACCTGGCAGGAGGACGGGATCCTGTGGGAGTGTGGTGAGGGATGTGCGGATGGCGGAGCGGGGGAGGGTTAGGAGGGAATGGGAGGCGATCTCGCCGGCGGCATCTCGTCCGTCTCGCCATCACGGTCCTCGCGCGGGGTATACCGCACAAAGTACTTCAACCTCGCGATCGCACCAAGACTCGTCTCCAACATGGTCCACATCTCAATGAAATCACCCAGCGTCTGATTAAAGTTGATGATATTCACCATGGCGAGACCAATGGCGCCCATTGTCGTAGCATTCGTAAAATACAGCGCAAACCCCACGAGAACGACAGCCATACCCGCAATAAAAAGGTCCAGCACGACGTTGAGCCAGCGCTGGACGCAGAAGAAGAGGTAATACGGCCGCTGGGAGGCGTCGAGCAGCGCGTGGTTCTCGCGGAGCATGGCGCGGGACCAGGTAAAGGCGCGGATGGTGGATAGTCCCGCCAAGACCTCGGAGAAGTGGGTGAAGAGCGGGGACTTGGCTTCGAGGTCGATGTGGCGGAGCTGGCGGGAGGTGCGGAGGTAGTACTTTTGTAAGAGGTAGAGGGCGAGGAAGGACGGGGGGATGAGGGCGGCAATGTAGGAGCGGACTTGTACGAAGGATTTCGTGCTTGCGCGAGCCGTATTCGCCCCGATTGGGAAGATGCGTCTTATCGGGACCAGTTCGCTCGTGTAACCATTTCTAGGCCATTGATCTTGTCCTGTCCCTGCCCGGTACACCGATACAGAAGATGATGCGACGAATAAGTTTCCCGTTGTATTCTGTGTAATTCGGTGCTTACATTTACCCGATTATATGCGTCGCGGTTCGGTCTGATATCGCCGCATAGGTAGGTACCTCAACCAACAGGCCATGATGCGATGTTTACCTGGCGCTTTTCTCAAAATCTAGGATCTGTCGTTTTCAGAGCTCAAGTACATGACCGCTGACCGTGTCTGGATGGAATACGTTAAACGTCCATAGCGGAAGTTCTCTCAACCTCGATCTCCTCCAACACTCGCGACCAAGCATCTTCTCACGTTGCCACAGCCCGGCAAACATACTCTCCAGATCGAACTCATCCCTCACTTTACGCCACGACACGTCTCCAGATCCTGACAGCGCACTCCTCTCGACAATAAATCTTGGCTCGGTGCGGTCTGCCGTCCATCTCCCTTCGTCAACCGCTTAAGCGTCCTTGTCCCAGGCGTTTAGCATCCTGGCATCTGCGTCGATGGCCTGCGTCCACAGCAGTTGAAGGCAGGCACGGCGCGGAAAGGGACCACGCCCAAAGATCTCAGAAACAGGACCATAGCACGGGTCGCAAAAGGTGTAGAGGCAGATATCGCTTTGGACAACCGGCAGGGCTGTTGATTCATCAAGCGAGAGCACGCGATAGTAATTATCAAGGTGCCTGCAGGTGACGTGGGGAGGGCGAGTGACCCGAATATTCACCTCACTCTTTTGGGAATACGCCACGGCCGAACCTTCCTCACATTGCCACGACGAAGCCCTTATACCCCCCCTCAAGTCCATTCCTGTCACCAACGGCAGCAGGCACCTCACAGGCCTGTGAGGTCAGGTCAAACTGCCGTTTGGCGGGATGGTTACGGGCGAGCCTACTCAACTGGCTGAGCCTACGCTAGGCTACAGGTTCGAATCCCTGCATGTGCACCCAGAGATGTAGCCCCCGTCCGCCACCGGGGGAATGAACTCTTTTTTGTTTTTTTGATTCTAGTGATTAGAAATGGTTAAGTAATCCGGTTCTAGGTAGTTGAGTGTAAGATGAGAATCATCTCGAAGATTTCCAAGGTCTTACGAAGTGTTGAGGGAAAGGCAGGCGGTCATGGCTTGTTTATTTGAAGAAATAGTACAAGGTTGCCGGGGTGTTTGCCTAATCGCAGGCTGAAGATACAAGAGAAGCCCGCCATCTTGAGAGATGACATAATTGAGCGTCTAAGAGACCCTGTTCCTTCTAGAAAACAATATTTACAAGTGAGAGGTAACGGAGAGAGATGCCCCTGAGCCCGATCCGTACTCGACATGCTGAAATACCACTCACCTCGACGACGAAGAATTGCCCTCAGATTAGCTCTCTCATGTTCTCACGGACAACGGCCGACGGATGTAACCCTCGTGCTGTCTGCAACTTTGGCTTATTTGGACTATGGTCATCACCGGGCAATTCTATATCGTGTTGCTGCGTAGGCCGCTAGGCTGGCAGTTCTCGAAATCTGCAACCGACGTTAGCTCTTCATCTCTCTGGTATCGAGGTGTCGAGGATGTTGTCAACGTACCGGCCAGCTCCGATTGAAAACTATATTATGTCCTGTCACGAGCAAGAACTCTCCAAGACAAACACGGCAAGCACCCCAGAAAGAGTGCCTACCATGACGCACAGAGAGGAAATGCTTCTAGGTACTGTAAATTGTCGTCATTGCGGCACAGGATTTCGAGGAACTGGCGTCAGCTGTTACAGAAAACGCAGCGATAACATCCATGCTGGGGAATCCAGATGGGTGCCTGCTCAGATCTCTGTTCTTTGGTGCTGGTCTTGCCATCGAGAGGAGGGTTCCTTGCGGAACCGCAGAACCGATGGTCCCGTTACCGTTTGTGAAAGCTTTCATCAATGCAGGCGGAAGGGGGAAAAGGTGTGTTGGGTGGAGGAAGAAAATTGGGCAAAGCATGACCGGTAAGGCATGGTGGAAACAAGATGAGAACCAACTTGACGTTCCGAGAGGAGAGGGACGAATAAAGAGACAAGAGGAGGTGGGAGAACTTCCCGACGCGCTCTCGGGAGGCGGTCTTGCCAGATCTCACTCGAGAACTGCGCACCTAGCTGATTCGAGCCAGAGCGAGGACTGTTAGGAAAGAATACTGAATAACTTCGTGGAAGCTGAGGTTGGAGAACGGCTGCTGGGATGAGGTCAGTCAAGATGGTCCTGATTCAAATATTTGACACCAAGTAGCTCACCTCTTCGAGGCACTGGATCTGACAGCAGAAATTCTGACACCAATAGGCTGTGCTGAGAATAAGATGTCGTCATTCTCGCGCCCATCCTGTGTGCCGACGGTGGCAGAGTTGGCAGTCGGGCAAGCTCTTTGAATGAAGGTGGAAGAAGCAAGTCGCGACCGAAGTCCAGTCAGGCGCGCCGCGCGACGACGGTACGTCCACTTTAATCTCGCACCGCCACACCTCCATTGCACCACCAGCCACGTACCTTGACGTGCCTGGAGGGCCAACTCGAGAGCTACTACAAAAGTCACCTGCAAACTGGATCCAGGAATCGATTTCCCGTATTCAGTAGTGATTGATGAAGCGTGAGATGCTAGCATACAAGAGGAAGCATTGAATATGCAAGTGGTATCATTGACACATAGATTGTCGAAACAATGTTGTTGTACATAACTTCCTGAACCCTCTGCTCCCATTCGCAGCACCATTCTCCATCAAACAGCACCTCCTACACCTGAAGCAACGAGGCCAACCCAGCAACAGGCGGCTCAACCTGCACCAACAACTCCCTAGTCCGCCGTATCCTCTCCTTGACGACCTTCTCCTCCGCCGCCCACCTGCTCTCCTCCGTCTTGGTCTCCGTCCAGAACCCAAACGCCGATTTCGTCGGCTCAGCCCGGTTCTTGGCCTCCTCTTCGCGAGCCAAGCTAGCCACCATGGCAGACCAGTTCTGCAGTCCCGTTCCCAGACACTCGCGGCACGTCTTGCGTGCCTCCTTGTCGCCGCCGATCGGACCGAGCTTGCGCAGCTGCTCCTCGGCGAGGTCGACGGCATCGCGCGTCCACGCGAGGCCCTCGTCGCGGTTGGCGGCCTGCTTCTTGGAAGCAGAGTCCTTTGCGGCTGCGGCGGCGGCGTAGATGATTTCGCCAATGTAGAGGTTCAGCCCGGCCTCTTCGCAGAGTTCTTTCGAGTGGCGCCAGGGCGGGCGGGTGCCGTCGTCTGGAGGGGCAGGGTACGTGGGCGCCTGCGCGAGGTTCCATATCCTCTGCCAGAGCGTCGCGGGCGTCTCTGTGGGACGTTCCTGGCCCGGGAGAGGGACCTGGGGCAGGGCGCGGCGGGCACGGAGGACGGAGATGAAGATGGGGAGGGCGGCGTTGACGTCGTCGTTGCGGGCCTTGTGGAGGGCGATGGAGGTGAGGACGGTCAGCACGTTCTCGGACGGCTGCGTCGGCTTCTTGTCGTTGATGGTGTAGGTGCGGGGGTCGACGAGGGGAGGGTCGCTCGGGGCGGTCGCCGTCGCTAGGGTGAGCGCCCACTGGTACATGCGCTCGGCGGCGTCGGGCATGTTCTTGTAGTCGAGGAAGGAGCCGTACGCGAGGGCGGCGTCCATCTTTTGGCGGTCGGTGAAGCCCTTTGTGGTAAGGATGCGGAGGTAGTGGTTCTCGGCGGGCTCGTAGGCGACCTCGCAGTCCTCCTCCCGGGGCGCGCTCTCGGCGCCGGCAGGGATGGGTTTCGGGTGCGGGTTGGAAGGGCCCAGGACGACGTCGGCGGGGAAGATGATGTTCCTCGTCTTGTCCTTGACCCAGCCGTCGAGCTGCTCCGCCGCCTGCGCCATGAGCATCAGCACCTCGTAGTAGCCCCGCCTCCAGTTCTCGCTCTTGGCTGAGACGTCCTTGCCCGCGTTGCCGATGCCGTCGATGGAGAGAGGTTCGTCGAGCAGCTCGCGGATCGCGGCGCCGTCGATATCGGGGTTCTCCAGCCTAGCCAGCGCGCGCCTGCACGTCACGATGACCTCGACCCAGTTCACGCTGTTGCCGGTCGAGTCCCGGGCGGCGTTCTTGGCCCCGCGGACGCCCATGCGCGTCAGGTAGGACCACTCGTGCGGCGTGGGGTGCTCTTTTTCCAAGCCTTCCTGGTTCAGCAAGAAGATGATGCCGAGGATGCAGAGGGCGCCACCCCAGATGGAGACATTGTAGCGGAGGAATAGGCGGCCCTCATAGCGCAGGAAGCGCTTCTTTTCTGTGGTGAAGTAGCGGGCCCGCGGCGAGGTGACGACGGGAATCGAGAGGAAGGGCAGCTGCGGCCTGCTGCGGGAGGTGAGGGAAGTGTTGCTCGTGAAGGGCCGGGTGGTCTGGAGCCGGAAGAGCCTCTGGAGGAGGATTCGGCGGAGGGCTAGGCGCTGGCGCATCGTGGCTGCGGGCCGGGTCAACTTCAGATCGGGAGGGTTGCTGTGCTCATGCGGTTGTGATGGTCATTGGTTTTGGCGGGTGTCCGTCGTCGGTGGTTGTATCGGAGTTGGGCTTCTTTTGCGGTGGGATTAAACATTCGGGAAGCTCAGAGCTTGAATGACCAGGGAGCTTCCATCCTGAGGTGGTCGATCCATCCAAGATTCGATGCCGAAGTGGGGCCACTGCTGGCCGGTGCGGTCGGTGGTGTCGGTGGGCGAATGTTCCGCTGTCAGCTGGAATTGGAGGTTCTGATTGGCCGCTCACCTGGAGCAACTTTTTTCTGTGATCGGAGATGGCGCAAGTCCAATTTTGCTGCTTAGACCCATCGCCAGTGACTTTGAGAGGGTCCTTCTGAAGCGCGTGTAAGACTGGCTTGACGGAAAGCCACTCAAGACACTCACCCTCTCTGTTGACTTTACAATATAGTAAATCTCGTCATCTTGCATGATGAGTGTGCGAGATTGAACATGTCTTCATTTTTCTCTAAAGCGGCGTCAAGTCCGCACGCTCAACTGGCTACTACCGCCGTCTTGTCAGGCGCCACGGTAGCATGTCTCATCCTCGGCTACCAAGCATTCGAAAGAAAAGAACGAATTCAAGATCTCAAAAAGTCTATCCCTCCCTCTGCTGAAGAAGCTGCCAAGGTTCATACATCTCATCTATACCAATCCACAGAGACCAAAAAAAAACTAAAAAAAAAAACTAATCACATCTCACAGCTCACTCGGTACGGCGCCGCATCGCCCCCAGTAGACAAGGAGGATGCCCGCAACCAAGCCCTCGCGAGACGAGCCCAGGCCGGCGACTTTGACGAGGAACTCATCCTCGAGCAACTCGCCCGCAACAGGGTCTTCCTCAAAGACGACGGCCTGCAAAAGCTCCGCAACGCCTTCGTCATCGTCGTCGGCTGCGGCGGCGTAGGCTCCCACTGCACCGCCGCCCTCGTCCGCTCCGGCGTCTCCAAGATCCGTCTCATCGACTTCGACCAGGTCACACTCAGCTCCCTCAACCGACACGCCGTCGCCACGCTGGCGGACGTCGGTATTCCCAAAGTCCAATGTCTCTACCGCCGCCTCATCGCCATCGCCCCCTGGGCCAAGTACGAGCTCAAGAACCAAAAGTTTGAAAAGATTGCCGCCAATGCGCTGCTTGCGCCTTGGGCTGAGAACGGACAGAAGCCGGATTACGTCGTTGACGCGATTGATAACATTGACACCAAGGTTGCTCTGCTCAAGTACTGTCACGATCACGGCATCCCCGTCATCTCCTCCATGGGAGCCGGGGCCAAGGGCGACCCTACGCGCGTTAATGTCGGCGATATCGGGGCCAGCACCGACGATGGGCTCTCCAGAGCTACTCGCAGGAAGCTGAAGCTGCAGGGTGTGACGGGCGGGATCCCCGTTGTGTACTCGACTGAAGTCGCCGGCGAGGGCAAGGCCGCCCTCCTTCCCCTCGACGAAGAAGAGTTCAAGAAGGGCCAGGTCGGCGATCTCAGCGTTTTGCCCACATTCAGAGTCCGGATTCTGCCCGTGCTCGGAACCATGCCCGCCGTCTTCGGATACATCGCCGCAAACCACGTTATTCTCAGCATTTCAGGTAAGAATCATGAAGCGACTACATCTATCTCATAGGGCTAACAAAGCTTCTAGGATATCCCCTCGACTACGTCCCGGCCAAGAACCGCGACAAGCTATACACAGATATTGTCGCATTCGTCCAGGGCTCCGAGACGCGAATCGTCCACCACAGATTCGGCATCGAAGAGTCCAAGGGCCTCCGCATCCCCGTCTCCCTCGGCGACGCTGCCTTTTTGACCGAGGAGCTGTGGAAGGGACGGAGTGCCGTCACCGGTCTCATTAACAGACTCGTGCTGGTGCGGTGGAGACGACCCGAGGGCCAGACTAAGCTGCGCATCGGCGAGGGCGCCGAGGAGCAGAAGTGGTCCAACGTTCGCTTCCGAGACTTGGTCTGTATGACGAGAGATGAGGCTCTCCGCCACGAGAAGGAGTACCTTAAGAAGGATGATACCAAGTTGGAGGACCTGTACGATGCGGACGTGATTGCCCGGATAGAGGCGAGATTGGAGGAGGCCATTGGGGTTGAGAAGGATAGACTTTGAGTAGAGAGTACATTTTTGGAACCACATCACGAATGTATGTATGATTGGAATGCGGATAACGTCCCTATGCTATCATCTCCCACCCGTCGCCCATCATTCTCCCTAAAGATCACTCCCATGCGTCGTCCTGCTGCTCAGTCTCTCCGACCGCAAGCTTCTGAATACCCCCTAGTACCTCGCAGTGCTCATGGTCCTCAGACGCCATGGCATATCCGAGACTCGGCTTTACAAAGTCGGGCATCTTCTCCCACTGCTCGTCGAATCCTCCCGCGGCCCACTCCTCCTCCGTAGGCATGCGCGGATCGACGGCGACAACCTCCGGGTGGCGATAGTCGGCGCCAGCGAGAGCGACCTCCTGGACCCAGTCGAGCATGGAGACGTGGCTAGTGATTAGCATGCACTCGACGAGGTAGACTTCCCCGGAGCTGTAGACCGTGCAGCCGTGCTGCGTGAAGGAAGCCGTGTTCGGGTTGCCGCCGGGCTGGGCTACGGGTGTGAGTGCAGGCGCTTCATCTGTGATGTACGCTCGAGCGCGGCGGGGAAGGAACTCTTTGAAGGATTCGTGGGTGAGTTCCTCGACGTTGATCGTGCTCCCGAGTAAGGACAAGGTGTTGATGCGGTGGCCGAGAGTAGACCAGGTCTCGGATGTGTCTAATTCTCTTGTTGCGTAGTCGGCACCAAGACCTATGCCGATGATGTCAAGGCGAGCAGTCGGGGATAAAAGGGAAGGAATGACTTCGTTGAGAACGTACGCAATGTGGGCTTCGGGACTCTCGTTCTTCGGGATCGCATGGTACTTTGGATTATTGGCGCGGCCGTGGTGAACCATGCTCTTCCGGGGAACAGCCATGGCTGAAGTCGGGCTCAGTGCCTTATTGCCTTCAGGCCACCACCAGAGCTCGCCTGTGTTGGCAAGAAGGATTCCAGGGGGACCATTGTCGGAAGGCGAAGCTCTCTGGCGATTGATCTCCTGAACGACCGAGACCATGCTGCCCTTGTTGATGCCGCCGGGGCCGTTGACGACGCGGAGAGCCAGGTTGCCGAGATCCTGGCTGGGCTCGCCGAAGATTATAAAGACGCGCGAGGCAGAGGCCAGGCTGGGACTGGTGAAGATGGGAACATTGGGTGAGGTTGGCTCGGCGCCGAGAGGTAGGAGGGTCTTGTTCAAGCCTTCCTTTTCGAGACGGCCGTGAACGATGTCGCGGATCGCTTCTATACGAGAGTCAGGAAGAAAGCACAATTTAAGTCAGTAGTGATGGGCACTTGCCGTTGAAATGGAAGCGCTGGCGATCATTGACGCGGCCATTCTTGGTAAGGTAGTACTTGAAGTAGTAATTGGGTTCCTTGATGTTGCGGATCTCATCTTGATCGTTGACGAAATAGCTGTGAATATTAGCTCTTGTGACGTTTTGATAGGCACGGAAAGGGCCGCAAACCCAAGGTCCTTCAAGTTGGACGAGAAGATCGGGTCTTTGGGAAGACCATCCCAGCGGCGGCGGAACATGGTGGCGGCTGAAGGCTGAAGAAAGACGGGATAGGGAAGTGTGGGAGAAAGAAAGATGGCTGAGAAGCCGTTTCGTATCGTCTTTTTGAAGAGACGGGAATCAAAGTTGAGAGAATTGAGTATGAGGGCAGGAGAGAAATGAAGAGAGACGAGAAGGTGAAATCAAATGAAAGGAGTGTGAGGGAAAGGACTCCAGGCTCAACGACCGAAACCAAATTCAAGGTCTCTAGTAGAGAACTGAGAAGGCAACCGCACTCGCAAGAGTTCCTGCCTATGTACGGCATCTAAGAGCATCTTCCCCCATTAAGCATACCTGATTCGCATATGAATTTGAGATGTGTTGTACATTGTTTGCCAGTATTTGTATCTGTACATATGCTTCTTAGGGTGCCGACATGCAGCCAAACGCCAAACCCCAAATCGTCTATACCTGGTAGGCAAGCTCGCGAGCGTAGCATGCCATCCAAAAGGCACACAAGTCCCTTTCAGTGTATCTTTCAACGGCCTTCCCGTTTCCTCCTTTTGTATATCATCATCTGCCGTCTCACGCGTTTACCAACTGGCCTTCTTGACACCGGGAATGTTACCCTCGTACGCTTGCATACGGAAGTTGAACTGTAATCTCTTGTCAGCCTGCGCGATTCAACCCCGGATTTGACGGACAGCCAGCGTTTTCGACATACCCTCGTCATCTTGAAGTCGCGGAAGACACCCCTGGCCTTGCCACCCAAAATGCATCGGTTCTTGATCTGCGTCGGCCGGGTGTAGCAGTGCATCTGTCCCAATTGAAGCTGCGCCTCGGCGCGCACACGGCCTGGGAGCGTCGTGTTCTGGATAATGTATCGGAGAGCTTGTCTAATTCACGGTGTTCGCGTCAGTTCCAGCTCGATTGCGTCGTTGGTTTTGGGGGTGTGAGAGTTGCTAACCTCTCGGGCTCGTTATGCATAAAGACCTGGCGCTTCGTGTGGTCACGAATCGTCCGTATGTTGACGAAACATCCCAAATCGAGCTTTTTTGCGCGGAACATCGACATTTTGGCGGCGGTTGTGACGTAGTGGACGGGGAGTCGCTGGTCGTGCAATCGCAAAGGTTGAGCTTTCGAAGCTCGAATTGAAGTTCGCGATGGGTCACGTGAAGTACTTATCTTATCGCTCACCGAGCTTCACCGACCACATCAAGGTTCTTGGAGGTCACTCTGCTAGGACCTCACCCCAGCGATGCAGCAGGTGATGGCAAGGGCTTTTTAAGGTAAATCTCGTTTGAGCTCACAAAAATAGCATTTTTGGTATTCGATTAGCCGTAACCCCTCCAAGAACGCCAGCCGTCATCACAGGCTATGACTGAACCCCAAACTTTGCAATATGATACAGCAGCGACACAACCTCTCGAAAAACACCAATGACCCTCCAAAAGATCAATGCAGTTCTCATCGTAACCGTAAAGGCAGCGCGCGGGTTGGCTGCTATAATTGGTCCAGGAGCTTCTGCCGCCGCCTGTTGATCAACTCTTCCTGCACCTCTTCCAGCGTCGGTAGCTCCCAGCCCTTTCCATCGCCTATATCGCCCGGCAAAGCCTCCCAGTCAGGTGGTAGTTGTTGCTTCCCAGTCTTCGCCATGTGCGCGAGGGCCTCTTCCTCCTTTGCAAGCTCGTACGCCAGCAACTCCGGGTCTTCCTCGTCTGGCGCGTAGCCGTAGTACGCTGCATCGACCTGTTTTCGCAAGTCGTCCCTCGTCTCTAGAGGTTTATCGTTCGTGGCCTTTGCCTTGGCTGCGTCGAAAAGCTCTTTGACTCCCGGCAGGTCTCGTGCGCGTCCAAAATATCGATAGCCTTTACCGCCTCCTGGTATCTCTCGTCCCTCTTCGTCGTATATCTTGCCGCCTCCACGCATGTAATTGGGCCCGCCGAGATTCCGTATTTGTACCTCCCACATGTACTTTTCCCTCATGAGCTTGTTGATTTCGTCGTTGAGGTCGCGAATCTGGTAGTCGCTGAGGGCGGTGTCTTGAATCTTGGAGACCTTGCGCGAGATCTCCTTCAACACTTGGCCACGCCACTTCTCGCATGATGGTATCGAGTCAACTTCGGTGATCACTCTAGGTCGTCTTGTCCGGCCAATGTCGATAATGCCCAGGTCCGCTGCTTGCGCTTCGCGAAAGCGAAACAGCATGGACTGCGCCTTTTCCGAGTTTCGCGCCTGCACTTATTAGTATGTCGCATCTCAGAAATCTAGGGGAGATTCAAATACCATCTTGAGAGCTTCGGCGACGGGTGAGGGCGCTGGACTTCTTGCGAATGTGGTTCGGGTTGGCTCTAGTGAAGAAAGTCGCACGGCAGGGCGTCGCCGTCTTTCAAGCTTTCGGTCGTCAATGTTGCGCGCCTGGCACGGGCCTTCCCCCACATCCAATCAGCCACGCCTTCAACGGAAATATGTGGCGTCCACTACAGACGAGGTACGCTGTGCTTTGTACACTAATCCTACAGCAACTGCTCCCACCACTGCTAACCACCACCAAGTGACGTGCGAGCTTCACACACTTTTGGAGCTGTCCAACTCCACGACAAGCTCAACACACCACCCCATCACCATGCGCCTTACGACGCTGCTTCTCGCAGCTACGTCGCTCGTCGGCGCGGTGTTCGTCGACGAGGTTGGCGACATTGATTACCACCACGAGCTCATCGGCGTCCCCCAAGTCGAGACCACCCTCTTCCACAAGCCCCGGCGCGACGATAAGGCTTCGCTACTCTACACCCTTAGCGATGTTGGCGTCCTCGGAGCCGTCAACCCTAGCAATGGTGGTGTCGTCTGGCGCCAATTCCTGACGGGTAACATTACAAATGGAGGCGGACACTTGCGAGCGGCCGAGGACGAGGATTGGGTTGTGTCTGCGTACGGCAGCTCGGTGCATGCCTGGAACGCCTTGTCCGGCAGGAACGCATGGTGGATCGACTTCGTGGGCACAATCAAGGATCTGGAAGTCATGGAGATGACGGAAAACGGGCGCAAGGATGTGCTTGCACTTTTCGAAGAGGAGGATGCCTCTACCGTCCTGAGAAGGCTCAATGGTGCTGACGGAACTGTGGTATGGGAGAACAAGGATGCGTCCAAGACCATCCCGCTGCAGGTTTCCAACAACATCGAGAAGATCTTCGTGGTCAGCCTTTACGGAAACGACGGCATGTGGGCCGTGAGGGTGTCTGTCCACGATACCCTCACTGGAAAGCGCATCGACGACATCAGCCTCGGCAGCAAAGGCGACGTGACGGATAAACGAGATGTCATGTTCGTTGGCGCCAACTCCGCGTCTCCCATCGTTGCCTGGCTCGATAGCGATCATACAAAGCTCAAGATCAACGTTCTGGGCACGAAGTCGAAGCAAGAGTTTGCTCTCCCGTTCCCCAAGACCCTTGATGTAGCTATCCATGCTCCGCATCACCTCAACGCAGAGCCGCATTTCTTGGTCCACAGCAGATCCTCCGATAGCCACAAGGGCGAGGTCTACCACGTCAACATCAAGAACAATGCCGTCACCAAGCACCACGAGCTACCGGTGCTCCCTGGACTGGGTGCTTTCTCTACTAGCTCGGAGGGCGCTAACGTCTGGTTCACGCGCATCACCGAGGAGGAGGTCATCCTTACCTCGTCAAACTCACATGCCATCCTCGGCAAATGGGCCTTCAAGGAAGGAAACGAGAGATTTGCGTCTCTTCACGCAGTGTCTGAGGTCATCAAGAAGGCTGCCGACAACTTTGCTGTCCGCTGCGCCGCTGTGACTACGCTGGATGACTGGGTTCTGGTCCGCAACGGTGAGGAGGCCTGGGTTCGCCCCGAAGGTCTCACCGGAGGTGTCGCCGCCGCCTTCGCAGAGATTCCCGAAAGCGAGGACCTCGCCAAAACCCTCGAAGCTGAGGCACACGACAACGTCCTCTCTGCCTACATCCACCGTGTCCAACGTCACTTTGATGATCTCGCCTACCTGCCCGACTACCTCGCCTCCATCCCCCAGCGCCTTGTTAGCAGCATCACTGGAGCTGAACTTGCGGCTAAGACTGAAGGTCTTTCTCGTGATGCTTTTGGCTTCAACAAGATCGTGGTTTTGGTCACCAGACGCGGCAAGCTTTTTGGCATTGATATTGGCAAGCATGGCAAAGTTATCTGGAAGCTTCACGCTGTCGATATCGCCCCCTGGAACACCTGGGATATCAAGGGCATCTTTGTTGAGGATGCCAAGTCAACCGTCACTGTTCGAGGCTACTTCGGCGACTACGTGGTTGCGAAGACAGACACTGGTAAGATGATTGACTCCATGCCTGAGGGCTCATGGGTGCAAACTCAGGCTGCCGTCATTGTTGACAGCCCTTCGGGCCCATGGCTTGCCCCCGTTGGAGATGGAGGCGCCATTGGTGACGTCCCTGCTGCATGGATTCCCACACAGACGGTCGTCGTTCGCGGCTTGAAGGGCGAAATCAAGGGCCTGACCTACATCAACGAGGAAGGCACTGGCAAGGAGCAGGTTGCCTGGGAGTTCTTTCCGCCAACGGGCTACGAGATCGTCAACGTCGCAACCCGCCCTGTCCACGATCCTATTGCTTCCATTGGACGTGTTCTCGGCGACAGACGTGTCAAGTACAAGTACCTGAACCCCAACACCATTGTCGTTTCTGCCTACAGCAACGCCAAGTCTTCCCTCACCACCTACCTGATTGACTCGGTCTCGGGCGCTGTTCTCCACTACGCTACGCACGAGGGAGTCGATGGCAACAAGAACATCGAGTGTACCCTGGCCGAGAACTGGTTCGTCTGTTCGTTCTTCGGACAGTACGCTCTCAAGGACGATGCCGGCCAGCCTCTTTCTGGACAAACCCTGAAGGGCAACCAGATCGTGGTCTCCGACCTGTACGAGAGTGAGTACGCCGATGACAGAGGCCCGCTTGGTGATGCTGCCAATTTCTCCTCTACCGAGCCTGTCGATACCCCGACCGGCGTGCCCCTGCCCTCGGTTATCAGCCAAGCTTGGATCTTGTCTGCTCCTCTGGCCGCTCTTGCTGTCACGCAGACTCGCCAGGGCATCACCAGCCGCCACGTCCTGGGCTATCTGCCAGAGTCTCATGCCATCGTTAGTCTCCCCCGCCAGCTTCTGGAGCCGAGACGTCCAGTCGGACGTGACCCGACACCCGCGGAGATGGAGGCCGAGGGTTTGATCAAGTACCATCCTGCCATTGAGATCGACCCGAGACAGGTCATAACCCACCAGCGCGACGTCATTGGCGTGCAGAGGATCATTACCTCACCCACTGTTGTTGAGAGCACCAGCTTGGTCTTCTCCTATGGCGTCGATGTCTTTGGAAGCCGTGTCGCGCCTAGTTTTGCGTTTGATATCCTCGGCAAGGGCTTCAACAAGATTAGCCTGATTTCGACTGTCCTTGCGCTCACTGTTGGTGTCGCCGTGTTGGGACCGATTGTAAGTTTCCTCCCATTGTCTCGCAAATTGTTTTGATCTTCTGCTGACGAAAGAAATAGGTTCGCAAGAAGCAGACCAACTTGCGTTGGGCGTAGATAAAAGTATTGTATGATATCATGATATAATAGAGTCGTTTGAGTTCGTGCATTGATGTTCCTGCTTGTGTCTTCTGAAACGTCGTGATCTTGCGTTTATAAATGTTGTGGTCAAATCCAGACTTGCGGACTAGTATGCTGTTGAGAGTCAACCGATCTACATCACTCTGAGGAATTTTGTAACTATCGGAGGCTGTATTATAGGCAGTCAGACTTCCAAGCTGTCCTGTCGCGTTGATGGGCCAGCTTGCTGGAATTTTTCTGCGTGACGTGTGTGAAGCATTGGAGTCTAGACCGCAGTTCAAGATGGAGCGTTCCAGCATGTCCTTGACGACCTGACGTCCAAGTGTCCCGCCAGCTAAGGGTGTTGATCGTTGCGTGGTCCTTCATAACCCGTACGTTTGCAAAGCATAATCTTTTCTATGAAGACTCAAGAGTACATGCATTTGCCAGCATGGCGCCTCAGGGGAGTTGGCAGTGGCAGGAAGACTGCATGGTTATGTGAAGACACTCGAGCTTCGTGACCATATTTTGTAGGTAGGTTAGAATAATATGACGCGAGTAGCGTTGTGTTCCTTCCAGACTTTACTTCTGTCTCGTCGCAAAGCCATAGGTTGAGTCTTTGAGGCTTCGGCTCAGAGAGATCAAGAACTCTTTCGAGCAGGATGAGGATGGGAACCTTCCCAAAAGCTTCCAGACTTCAATGGCAGAGCATTTTCCGAACCACGTCAGATAAGTAAAGGTTTGGACAAGCATCTTCAAATTCATCAATTACATGTCATAGCACAGAGTTGCGGTGTTCAATTCAAGGGCGCTTCGGCGCAGAGCAAAGTGTCATCAAGCTGGAACACTAGATTCTCTATCCAGTGAGACCTTCCCTTGACACTCAAAAAATGACTCCCGGTCATTTTCTTCAATGGCCTATCGTTGCAGCGCGGGAGGGTCCTTTCTTCTTTTGCCACCAGCAGCAATGCGGGTAGCCAAAATAAGCTTAAAGCACCATCCTGGTATTCGACTCTGATCCGTCCGAAGTTGGCATTGACTTTTCGTCTCAACGATCAATTTGCCTTTTCCCCACTGACATCGAACGTACGTTGAAAATGCGTTCATATCGAAGGAAGGCTTTCCAAGTTGCGATCAATACCTGATTTCATTGGTGCTGCTGCTACTTTGTTCACACGAGGCTCCATTTTCAACATTTTCTCGGGGCTGCTCAGCGCGAGGACATCACACGATGCAATAGTGTTAAGTGTATCAATACAATCAGCTCAATGCGCCATCTTTATCCACAAGATCCACGAGGTCACCGAGACGCCTAAAATTATGCCCTCAATCATGCAGATCCATGGTGTTGCCTTTCAGCCGAGGCAGGATCCGGTCAAGTGGTAAGGCTAGAAGCTTGAGGAGCTTCGAAGAGTGCCTCACCCCCCTCACTATCATGCAGGCTACATCTGTAAATTGAAATGTAAGAGCCCACATTCAAGCACTTTGAAGTACATCTAAAATACGTCGAGAGATCGTTACTTCAATTGAGGAAATATTCCATGCCTGATTGGATGTATGTTGCGGACGCCTTCAGGCATACGGGGCCTCGGACTCCTCTTTAGGCTCTCTGTGGAAACACCAAAGCCACATCACTCTTACAAGGAAGCTTATATCGCACTGGTGAGGGGCTTTTGGCTAGATCCTACCGCCCGCTATCTTTTTAGTCTGGTTGCCTGAATTCTAGTGGGTCATTAGGCCGAAGAACATCGACGATGTGTGGGTACATGAGAGAGCACACGATGCATGCGATGAACCAACGCGGAACGGCGCAGACATTGTTGGCAATGCAGCTAAAAGCCCTGTCAATAAACAACAGCTGGTATGAAAGGGAGGGCTCAGACTCTAGCACGAAAATCTCCAAGTAAGAGTACCTAAGGCAGGGAAGATTGATCCATTTTGAGAGAACGTTGTCCAGTTGAATTGGTATCAGTGTCAAGTTTCCAAGCAAGTAATCTTGATCCTCAAGCTTGTCTTCGGGCATTTGTACCGATATCATACTTTAAACCAAGTAGAGTTAGACGTTACTGGGACACGGTCACGGGACTCATTCTCTCACGTTCCTCGGGGGCTGGTAGGATCGAGTGGCTGGTAAGTGCCCTCATAGCTACCTACCTCGCTTTGGCCTTCACCGCTCAATTCAGCTTTGTAGCTCACTTGTATGACAGCACATCAACACTATGACCAGCCTCCTAAATTTAACTCCCCAATGAACCAATTACATGATAAGCCAGAATAATGTCAAACCGCGATTGTCGCTGTGAAGGATCAAGCCGATGCCGCTTGAAGAAGCAGTTCAACTGCCGGCTTCGGACCCTACACTACCTTAGCTATGTGTGCACAGATCCCAGTGACTCATCGAGGTAACATCGTCTGTTTGCCTTGCGGCTTGCCAAGGAAGTATCGGTGGGCTCACCGATATATATCTGAAGTATTTGAGTATAGTACGCTATATGTGAATTGTCATTCCTCGTCGTCTATTTGATACAGATTCAATGTCCCGTAGTAATAAGGCAGAGCTCACGTAGACATCGGGCCGACAGGGCAATCTGATAATTATCGCACATTAAGGTACCCATATAGTGAGACATGAGTTGAGTCAGGGATTGGCGGTTTCAGTGCCAATGTGATTTTCGTGAACCCCAGCATGCATACGTATTGATCAAGAACGAGTTAATCAATGTGAAAATTGCACTTCTGCCAAAGTGAGAAGGCATCTCACACGGAGTACCAGCTCGAGTGCTGGAATATATTGGTCGGTCGCCAGTTTCATCAAAACGAAAGGTGCACAATGTGTCACATCAATGCCCCAAAGCAAGCATTGTAGAACCCCTCTGGTTCATGTAACTTACCGTGAGGCCACTTCTCGCTGCCAGTTATCGATATCGTCATGTCATGACTCCTGAATTTACACTTGTCTAACGTTGCGCAAGATGGGTTGCAAGGGTTCGAGTACAGAAAGCTCTGCCGCAGTGCCGCCTGGGCAACACTGTCTCATGCATTCGACTGGCAGCGTTAAGATCACGTCTTGGAAAGCCTTGCGACTCTTTGAAGATGCCTTCTTTTAATCCCAAGGGAGATGATTGTCACACCAGACATGATGCCTTTCTGGTGGGATCGCAAAGGCACTTTCGAGAAGGGTTAGACTTTACCAAAGTTCCTCACAATTGGCAGATTCACGGACTGAGTATTGCCGCCTGATGACTGTCTCTCATCGACAATGTTGCCTTCACACTCACCGAAGGTAGTTCAGGGGTAGCTCACTGCCATAGCCCATGGAAACTGATCCTGTGAATCCTTCGCAGGCACCCGTCGCCGCCTTACATCGCCCGAGTCTGTGTTCCAAATACCGACATGCTGAATCCATGACTGGGTAGTGCGGTGAGACCGTGAGCGTCGTCGTTTTCGTAATCGATTTTGATTTGTGCAGTTGCCGAACCAGGTATCCCGGATTATACCGCCAGGTCATCGGGACGAGCAGATCCGTCCCGAAGCTTACGGACCCTAGCTGCTGTGGTACTACGGCCGGTGCCGTTGAAGAAACTGGACAGGGGTTTCATGTACTGGGCTTTGCGGGCTTTTCCGAAGGCACGAATCAGCATGATTCGACGCCGTCTGGCTTGACGATATTAAGGCGGATAGCATGCGTGGCCCCGTGACAGCGTGCAAGTATGTTTTTGGGTTCGGCCCAATTGCAGAAAGGTAAGCAATTGCCGCTCGAGGCTGAGTATTGATGACCCCGGTGAACTTTCCGCTCTGAAAGAAGTCTCTTATGCAGATGACAGTGACGAACGGTCAGCATAACTGATTTCTTACTGGTCTTCTCCAAATGCATTGGCTCAGACTTGTCGCCTCACACTCGAATCGCCTGGATACCACTTTCGAGCTTTCAAGATTCCTCAGTCAGAAGCCCAAGGAAGAACGACCATACGCACATCTACGAAAAGCTGAGTGCGTCAAGAGCTTGGAGCAATACTTTGTTATTGCTAACCCAGCGTTGCAAGAAACGAAACCTAGGCAATTGACTCCTGTATCGCAGTCCAATGACTCCAATCGGGCAGCCTTACAGCACTGTTTGGGCCGGCAGCATGTCCTCCCCCTCAATTTCGCCTCAAGTTCTGAGTTGCAGGTCTTGTGACAGGCTGTCAGCACTGTTATTGATTCTCAAAGCGGAACGTTCGAATAATCTGCTGCCACGATGGAATAGTGGCTACATTAGCGATGCAATGGGCCCCCGAATCGAAGTCCTCTGTGTTACGGGCTGGACCCGATTAGTGGATCCGGGCCAGCGCCCGGATATTCTGCCACGATTGACCGCGCGGGCTCTATTACGCCTACGCTCCACCTCCGCGGAAGCTCCGCTTGTAAATCTCTTCTCGTCAGCTTAGATTCTGTCAGGCCCATCCCAGTACACTCGTTACAACGATTGTCACACTATGCCTATGAAACAATATGGTCTTACACAAGCATGACTAAGTTTGCCAAGGATATGCCAGTATAAAGGGTCTTCCACTCACTATATAGATAGTCGGGATATTCCCATAGCCACTCGTTCTTCATACTCATCAATACATCCCATTGACCCCCTACCTGATAATCGCTGCCCAACAGATTCTATATACAGAAATCACCCCTACGTGGCCACACGAGGGCTGGGCTCTTAACACTCTGGTGGAAAGAATCTCAGGCAACTACAGGCCGCATATGAGGCTGGGCATGTATTGGCCTGGGCCTGTAAAGTCGGAAATCATGAACCGTTCGAAACGAATCGGGAAGCTGTTTCTGGGCATTCTGCAGCACCGTGGCAAGCAGAGCAATCGGTTCTGTCTTCTCGCTCTAATGTGGCGCTGTATTGGCAATGCTGCTGTAAGTGTCAGCACATCATGAAACACAAGAATAGCGACTGAACTCACATTCCAATACCGATTCGGATCCTTCCTTCATCAAGTGGCAATCGGATATTCAAGTTGATGCCCGGTCGTTGCCGATCCTGCGTGCGTTATTGGCAGGCCTTGTGGAACGCCCGGTCAGGGCAGATGCCTGATAACAAGATTGACCGAGAGGAGATGGTTGCAGCCAGGTTTTATATAAGTATATGTGCAACCAATCAATAGCCACTGACAGTCGCCACGATAACTTACAAGTGCAAATGTCCTTGGTACTACTGTCGCCCCCACCGAGCTTGTGCTTGTGTAAGGATGCAAGAGAAATCTAGATCCGAAGACTTCGTTCGGGGATAATGGACCGATCGGGCATGCAGGTTCCAACCCGGCATCAGATTCCGGCATCCCGGCGACCTAGCCGGCGCCGAGTAACCACAACATTACTATTGCGGTTCTCCGTTATCGTTTTCATGTTGCGGATTGGCACTGTCCGTGTATGCAGAGACCCGTCTCACTTCCCCTGAGATGGGGGTTTGACGCGGCACAGCCGCAATGGTTGGTGTAGATCATGAGAGCCTGGATGTTGCCTTAGTCAAGGCGGCATGGTGGCTAGCTACTTGTGCTGGCCTGGATTGACCACGACTTCAAGAAATGGGACGGCACATATTGCGCTTGATCCAATAATACCATGGCGCTCTTGACATGTTCTGAGAACCCCGTCGCCCGCAGCATTCCATTCTGAGAACCTAGGCGTCAATATGTTGACGTCAGGGGCCGAATGCACGTGGAGTCAGGGTAAATCGAAAAAGAAAGTATCAAGGGGGATTGAGAAAGCCTCCCTGAATAGAGTCGTAGACCATGTCGTGAACCAGCAACTGCTACACACACCACCTTCATCAGCGTCTATTCGTAAGGCTCTCTGAATATCGGTGTGAAGGAGGTTGACGCCCTGAAGGATAAGACCAGCGGCATGAATGGTGAGTGAAGACGTGGATCCGTAGGGCGGCTCGCTGCTCGAAGTTGTGAGGCGCATACAGCAAACATGACTGTGATAGGATCACACGCAAATGACTGTCCAATGAGGGCCTTTATGGCGTGCACCTGTCAGGCAAGGAACAACATGGATAACAGCCGCTTACATTCCATCAATGCATGGCTTCCAATAGAAGCAAGATGCTACTCGATCTGTCCTTGGAGAAAACGGGCGCATTTCCCTTCGCCTCGGAAGGCTCAGAAACCAATACTTTGCCCCAGGGAGCCTGTCGCTGAAGCATTCCTGACGCCAAATAAAATACGGGGCAACCAAGGGGCGTCGATTAAGGCGCATGTCTGAGCATCGCGAAAAACAAGTTCAAAGGAATGCCGGACAAGGTATAAGAGCCAAGTAATATCACTAATCAAAGCATGTAAGGATCTACCCTAGCGCAGGCCTCGGAGCAACGACCTCGGGAGGAACATCTAGGCAGAAGTGACCCACATAATTATTTGCACAAGAAGCTCCTATGAGTCTTGGGTGTAATATCGCTCCAGACCTTCTAGATCCTTCTTGATGACGGAGGCAGCTGACACCAACATGAAAGAGAATAGGCAAACGAGTGATTGCCTAACTTTGAGCCGTAGTCGTACGTCGCTGAAGGGGTTCGGACGCCTGACGAAAACAAACTCTTCGACTAAAGTACGTCAAGGGGTTTCTTCTAACCTGAGGTAACACCTATGAACCAAAGTGTGAGTCATCCTAAGGCGGGATATTTCTCGTTCATAGGGTAGGTATACGAGCCATCTAGGAATGTTAGCTTCGGTTGACTTCGAACTTCTTTGTGTGATTGGAGACCTCGTGTTCTCAGCTTTCAGCTACGCAAGCCTCGTTGCCTCCGAGCATCGTGTAAGTCATGCTCCGCTCCGTTGGGCAGATTTCGTATCTCCTCTCCGCTACGGGACATCTCCGCCACACTGACCTAAAAATGCACTGCCCTCTTCGTGAGAACCTTTTCGATCAAGTGACAGGTGAAAGTTTGAAGTTCAACACGATCTGGGCCCGACTATGGAAATTTGCAGCATATCGTACCTGTCATCATCGGCATCGCCGATGGTGCCCTGCAGATGGAGGTTGCAGCCTCGGTGTGGCTGAGTAGAGCGGGTGGCGGATATGTCCGCCACATCCGAGACTGTGGCCGAGCAATAGCATATCCGAATATGCCAGACAAAGACGGGAATTTGGAATGCTACTCCGTTGAGTGGGCTGTAAAAATCTAGTGTGTCTAAGTTTTGACTCAATTGATTTCCGAGTTACTGCCCATCCCAACACAATTGCTATGAAGGGGCCATTCCGCAAAGTCGTCCTGGTAGTTGAGACTTATGGTAAAGACTCGAAGATGGCTTCAGGTCCATAGCAGTGGAGTATAGAGAAACATCAGCGTGAAGTATTTCGAAGTTGAAAGAGAAAGCCATGGAGAGTTAGTCTTCGAATAGAACTGTGGTCAAAGACATGGTCAGAAAGCTATTGAGGTTTAGACCATCAAGCGATTCAAGACACGACGCTCTGCTTTAGCGTGCCCTATGCCCATTTATTTACCATCCAGATTATTCAGATTATTAAAAATGCAATGGAAATGACTGAGACTATGAAGCAAAGACCTTAAAAAAGCCTTCGGGCACCGCGTGATTCGGTATCACAACTTTGTTGCTCAGCAGGACGATAGTGTTTACCGCCTTATTTGAGCCTGGCTTTTGCTGGAGGAGCCAGTCCATGGTTAGACCAAATAAAGTTAGGCGTAAACTCAACCCTGACAGGTCTATGCTATATCGAACAACACTTCATACGTCACAGATAACGCCTTCATGTCTTCTTGCTGCGTTAACGTACTCCGTTGAAGACATATCGTCTGTACTGATAGTTGCTTTTACTATTAGTACGGATGTCGAAACAAAATCGCTTCGCAGACTCTAGTAAACACAATTTTCATTATTCTCTGTCTATGGAGATATGAGGCACCAGTATGGCCCTTTAGGTAAGATAGAGCGTCTACGGCGTGGCCATTCCGCAAGGCAGACTTGTTCGGTCTTTCAGAGAGTGGTCTCCTCAATGCTTCGATGTCCCGATATTATTCCAAAAGCAGGCTACGTACAAAAGTTGAAAAATATCTCTGGCTGATGTAATATATGCACGTTGCCAAATTGTCTTGGGATCCAACCTCTTGGTTTCTTTCCTTTAGTACCGTGCTTCCCAGCCCCCAGAATAAAATTACAAAAACAGGCGTCATTTGCCCGAATTAAGCAAGCTCCACTCAGCCATACATGCTTGCGTGAATTATTGTGAGGAGCTCCTAATTCCATGATCTAATCAACTGCTCTAGCTTGGTTGCCTTCTATACAGTCGAGGGAGCGCGATGCGGTGTGAAATCTGGGTGACACCTCAGACTACAGTCTACTAGTACCTTACGGATAGTAGGCACAGATATCATCCTTCGATCTTCGTCACTCAACTGTGCCGTAATCTGCCTGATGGTCTTGCTTGCATGCATGAAGCGGCATGAAACGTGGGTCATTGGATATGTTCTTCCATGTCACCAGCCAGGCCCAACACTTTTTCTGTTCAACTTTACTCACTGACAGGGCCCGATGATCAGCCTCTAAGACAGTCCATGATCTCAAACATTAGTGGCATTGCATGTTGGTTTCAAATTTCCTAAATATGCATTTCTGAGTAATGTTTCAGAACCACATCAGAACAAAATGCATTCCTTGAGGGCTGAAGCTTGAAGAGCATCTCCCCGTGCACATGGGAACTTTTACCCCGCAATGAAGGGTGAACGAGAGGGGCAGATGATGTGTCTAAGTCCCGCTAACCCTAGCAAGCCGCAGCTTCACCATGCTCACCGCCTGATCAACAACACCAGTATCCGTACTAGCGGTATAACAGGTATCCTGGTGTTGCAGACTTCCGGCCAATCGTTAGTATGCAAGATCAAAGCTCAGAAGCGCGGCTGCCGCGCCATCAGAAGCCTTCGGAAGCTGCACCACCGCTACCCGGACGCTAGAGCTCGAGCCAGAGAAGTGACTCTTTTTGGTCAAGATAATACAGCCTCATCCAGCATCAAATGCAATGCGAAAGGCATCTACCCATCTTTGACAGGGCAGTCCCAAAGACTCAGATTGCACTATGTACTTCCGCCCATCCTCGTGAACAGCAATCGCAATTTCAACATCTGTGCACGGTCAGTGGTCCTGCAAGCCTGTGGCGCCTTAAGTCATCTCAATTTCATGTCGGAGTAGTAACATGTCCTTGTGAGTTCTTGTACCACGTGATATGACTCGGTCAGCGATCTCAGGTAACAGGTTAATCGAGCTGAGGAGTTGTGTCACTGTAGTGACTTTCTGTCAATAACGCCAATGTAGATGCTCAATATTTCCGATACAATACATGGCGCCTATCGAAAGCGCCCGTTCCAGCAATGCAGTGAATGAAGGGTGGTTCTGAAGAGACTTTTGTATGTGTTAATAACGCACAAGCGAGAGACTTACAAGACAGAATTCAACGAGAAAAAGCCCCCCAGGTTCGTGTCATGTTATCCTGTGCCACAGTCAATCAACTTCTTGTTCCAGAACCTGTGAAACTGCACGCGTGATGTTGCGTAGGTAACAAACTTATCTTTCGAGTACGAGAATGCTTGTGGCGACTGACACGGTC